TGAACTTGGCCTTGCAGAAACAAAGCAGCCACTCCTCCATCTATTTACAGTGTGTTTTCACTTTTACTACCTGCCCCATTGTTTGTTAACAGTAAAACAATTGATGCTAGCAAAACAAAGTGTACTGACCTTAAGGCTACACCAGTAAAGCTGAAGTTTGTATTAAGAGGAAGAAATGGTGCATGGTACATGTTGATGAGACGGAACAGTGTGTTCAGTACAGTAGCTTCCCTACTGTTTTCAATGTGTTAGCTGTTAAGAAATTCATTTATATTTCCTGCTATGAAGGAGTTAAATTAAAAGGGATAATATACTTGTGTGATAAACTTACTGAAGACTACCATATTGTCTCGCCATTCTTGTCTGCTTTAAATACATCTACAACTCTTTATAACAAGCCTCTTTTAAACCCATTTAATCCCACCATTAAAAAAAGCTCTTTTCTCAATTCATAAACCATTATGATATAACAAAATATTGCATTTATTATTACTTTGTGAATCCTTAATCCTATAGCGGTGTGTGATATTTTTAAATGTTTAAGTGATGCAGCGTTTCAGATGGGAATCCATTAAGTTGACAAGGCCTAATTTATCAAAAGTCCCACATGAACAAGCCAAGTAGATAATATTGAATTTTTGTAAGCCACGTCAGACAACAGGCAGCTACATCGTTTGGTTTCCCTTGGCAAAAGTTTTGGATAGTAGCTGGTACCTGACACCCCCACCTGGGCCTACTAAGGTGGAGGGAGAACACTGCAGACCTCTGGTTGTTAAGAAAGTGAGAACCCTCCCATACTGAGCCGTGCTCTGTAGAGGAAACAAAGTGATAGGCTGAGCAGCAATTCTAATTGCCGTAGCCCAAACCAGCACGATGACAGATTGGTATTTCAGTGTCCACTCTGAATTGTTTTAAAGTAGACATGTTATCTCCGTGAATCCGTCTCTTAACATCTACAACCTTTAGTTTTTTTCATGTGAAAATATATTTCAAATGTTCTATTCATTTATAGTATTAACTGAAAAACTGCACCTGGATTCAAGGTTTTCCATTTGCAGGGACCCTGACTGATTCCAGCTTGTGGATAGGAACCAGATTAGCTTTTCACACTAAGCACAAACTGAGTGTGTCTGGCAGTGGTCCAACAGCTGGCAGCAGGCATATGCAAACACAACTGATGAGGTGAGAATACACTGTTTGACCCATAGTTGGATAATTATGTATCACAAGTAATCTGTAACAGTAGCATTTATGCTAACTGAATGGCTCTGGTAATGTAAAGTTGAGAGCCGCCTCTAAGGTGTTTAAAACACGTTCCTGAGTCTCAAACATTACAGACACCAAACTAGATGTGTTATATTATCATTGAAATATTAGATCTACAGCAGGAGCAAACGCTCGCCTCGGGGAGGGAGAAAAAGGGCCACAGCGGAGAATAAACAGAAGGGCAACCATGACAACCATGCGCGTGCTCGTACACGTACACGTCCTCGTGTGGAAGTCTTCTTCGCTGTTTTGTGGCAGGAGTACAGCGCCACTTACAGGCCCGGCATATGTACTACAGCGTCTCCAGCGCTTTTGAGCGGTCTCGTGTGAACGGACACGTTTCTGGTGCCTATTGCGTGTGGACGGAATACTGTTTTGATATCGATTTCGGTCCGTTTGCGTTATCGTCCTCGTGTGGCTCCAGCCTTAATTAGATTACCCATATCAAGACAGGAAGCCTTGAAAACCTGAAAGGAAGTTTATTCTGACCCTTTTTTCCATTATTTTGGGTAAACTGATACTCATAGCAAACACATGTTCCTTATTATTTAACTTCACTTAAAGGAAATATAGATAAAAACCAAGAAATAGCTAAAGGGTAAAATAATAAGTAAGCAAGACTAAGAGAGTTAGGTATGCAGTGCTCGGAGCATCATTCAGCTGCAAGTATTCTAAGCTGCCACTGGAACCACCAAAACCAACCAGCTCATACATCTTTGGTGAGAATTCAAAAAGTACCTGCAGCAGGACGGTTCCTCCAGGGAAGCTGAGCTGGACACAGTACTTTGGAGCATTGTCCCATGAAAGGAGCTGCAGGTCTTCTATGGAGCTGTAGGACAACGACGTCTCCATGTAACCAGTGGGCTGCAGAGGAGAGAAAAAGCAAACGGATATTAGTCTGCCACTGTGTAACATTGACATCACATTCTGAATATTAAAACAGAGCCGGAAGAGTACAAGGTGTTTGGAATGGCGGAGTGAGCTGGAAAGACAAAAATAAATATATCACGGGCTAAACCTCTCATGGGTTAGCTAAATAAAACCTCCAAATACAGGAGAAAAGCAACCCCTGTTTAAGTGAATCATAATTGAATGAAACAGTGGAAAATCTATTTAGAAAACACACACACCTTTTATTAATTTCCTTGTTTTCTTACAGCAAGAAAAAACTAATGCAACAGTCACGGAATTTTTTTTTTTTGAAATGTTGACATTAATGAAGGGTATTAAGTCAACTGATTTCACATAACTGTATTATGGGAGGTTAAGATTCACCGATTCTCATCGGTGCACTGGCATAAACGTTCAAGATGCGAGTGCACCGGTTGAAAGAGTGCACATCGGCTACAGTTTGGGTTAAACTCGCGATGCATCGATTGTAGCGACTTTGCATCGTCAAAAAAACAAATAATTCATATAAAATCCCCTCATCTTGTCAGCACTCAGCAGACGATCTCTGCTTCGCACTACGGAGGAGCCGCGTCACAGTTATCAACACACATGTAAATGATGCCGTGCCGCTTTAAAGTACACAAGTAGTACGAGGAACTTAGCGATGCACATAAAGAGGCGACATGGGGTCTGCGGCTGAAAAGAGAAACCTGAAAGTTAGACATATGAGTTCAATCACTCAGAGAGGTGTTCTGTCAGAGAGAGCGGTGTATAGTTTATAGCAGCCTGTGACGGCCAATAACAGTTTAAATGTCTTCCTTACTGTAAGCAGTTATGAAATACCTGTTTGTTAAAGGTTATTTGTATTTTTTATTGTTCATACAGAAACCACACTACTGCTTTCTGCTCAATATTGGTGGAAAAAGCATTGTTCCACATATCATGTATGAGGAAACAATGCTTTTTAGAGCTCTTTAGAACAATTTTTATTTTATTTTCATTTTCTGCTGAACACGTTGAGCAAACATTTTGTAAACTGAAACATAGAGCCTAGAGCTCTCTTTCTACACACAACTACTTTAGCTCAAAAACACGTTAAGCGCCTTCATGGAAAACATTGTCAAAAAGTGTGTATTGGGCCACAGAGTGGCTGCCTGTCTGTCTGTGTCTATCTGTCGGTGTCTGTCTGTCTGTCTGTCTGTCTGTCTTCCTGTCTGTGTCTATCTGTCTGGCTGCCTGTCTGTCTGTGTCTGTCTGTCTGCCTGTCTGTCTGTCTGTCTGTCTCTGTGCCTGTCTGTCGGTCTGGCTGGCTGCCTGTTTGTCTGTGTCTGTCTGTCTGTCTGTGTCTGTCTGTCTGTCTGTCTGTCTGCCTGTGTGTCTGCCTGTCTGTCTGTCTGTCTGTCTGCCTGTGTGTCTGTCTTGCCTCGGTGTCTGTCTGTCTGTCTGTCTGCCCGTCTGTCTGCCTGCCCGCCCGCCCGCCCGCCCGCCTGCCTGCCTGTCTGTCTGTCTGCCGTCACTGTTAATGTTGTTTTTAAAAAGGCAGAGCAGAATGGAGACAAACAGAAAGGACTTCAATTTTGTGATAATCAGCTGTGGTTACCGTGGATACTACATCCTGCACCAGAGCATGCAGTGATTGGCTGCCTCCATATCCCTTCCTCCCTCTCACATCCTCCTTACTCTGTCTTTCGTTCCGTTTACTCCACTTGGTTCTTCTCCTGCCTTTCCTCATTCTGTCTCATTCTGTTCTACTTGCTTTTCATCGTAGAGGAGGGTTGGAGGAGGCTACAGCATATATTGTCTACTCTGCTAACTGCTGAGTTACCATAGAAACAAGGGGATTATTGTTTCCAGGGAGAAGAAGACCGGGAACAAAACTAAAATAAAGAAAAGGTGGAAAGAAAGATAGAAGAAACCATGAATAATACACTGTCATATCAAAATGCTCCAAACATCAGTTACAGCGCCATATAGAGAGAAGAGTTACGACAGCGGAGAAAAAGTTAAATTTGTTAATATTTGAGGATTATGATAAAATAAGAAGTACTTTATTGATACCAATTTGGGAAATATTTGCTTTGCAGCAGCAAAAGACAAGGCATTGTACATAAGACAGTTAAAAGACTAGAATTAAACAATCGAAAAATGTAAACATCAAAAAATAGAAATAAAATAGCATAAAATATATATAGTGTGAACAACTATCTTACCTGTTAACATATACATGTTAGGCTAAAGTTGCCTTGGTTACAGAGCCTGTTGCTGTTGTTTATTGCTTTGAATTGTTTAAAACAAATATTATCTTCTTAAACTTGAATGGTAGTCAGGAGCATCACATCCTAATGTTTGATATATTTAGAGGGAGGGGATGGGAAAGAAGGTTTAAAAATTCAGATTAGATTCATTTCTACCATTTCTTTAATTCATGGTGGTTTCGGTAACCCCCTGGTAATTGAGGACATAAGTAATCTAAATGACTAATGTAATCTTTATGACTTTCAGAAAGGACAGGAGACCCACAGGTGCCTATCAATGATTGTCAACTGACAGTAAATAAATGGAATTCAATAAACATTGAATAACATGCGTTGCAGTTTGTCTGTGCCTTTTCCTCTGTGTTGTCCTGGCATATAGTCTCCCCCATGGTTTGCTGTGCTGCCTGGGGATGCCCCAATCTCTCAGAGAAAGGAGTATGAATGTATGGCTTCCCCACTGACACAGCGAGGAGGAAAGAATGGTTGGCTCAAGTCAGCAGGAGCAATTTAACTATCACAAAAGACAAAACAGCAACAACAACATGTGAGGTAATCATATTTTTCACAAAACGAAGACCACACCATTGGGAAGCTTAATGTCTGTTTAATAAAAATAAGGAACAGGGAGAGGCTTGCAAAACTCTTGGAGTTGAGACTCAGGTGCAGGGTGAGGGTCTCAGTGCAGGTATTCAGGCTCCATTGAATCCCTCTGGGGTTCTTGTGCTGAAAGAGGGAGACTCGAGAAAGGGTTAGATACATCTAGTAACCTATAGGATGGGGAATTGCTGACCTATTTTAAACATACCTTGTGTTTTCACTCTCAATTAAGTCCCTCTCCTTTTGCCATCAATCCAAAATCAGCTGAGCTGCAACATAATACAGGCAGGTAATAATCAACAGAATCACAAAGACATAATATGACTCTGCTAAAAACACTCACCCATAAGTTATGTTTTTGTTTACTGTTTAGAAGTCTCAAATATGCACTCTAAATCCATATCAACAGCGATGTATCACAAAAATAGCTCTCTTCCTTATTATTGTGTAATGTTAACTATATTATACTAGCTTGAACTTCAAGATGGATATCCTCATTTCACCACCTCCACCCACTACAATCACACGCCCCAATGTTATATTTAACTAATATTTGACTCCCTCCACCCCGGATAAAGGCACGTTAAGAAGCCCCTTTTCTCTAATTCCACAACGTTGGAGGAAATAACATTAAGAGAACGGATTAATAGTGGTTAACGTGTGTTGCTAACTTTATCCGGTATCCTAGCCTTATCTGTAAACGTAAAATATACTGATTTAAGGGATAACCCACTAACATCCTTTAATACACATGTGTAGTTAATTTGATTCAGATGTTCTGATAATATCCGCAATATAAATCTTTAAACGTCTTCTTACCTTTAAAAGTCCATCACGAACGGTCTATTATGCTGCAACCATAGACTGCTAGCCGCAGATCCTCTCAATAGTTAGCCGCTAACTTCCGGGGAACTAAGGAGAGGCTCCGCGATCCGCCATTGCTGTAAAAAAACTGGTCCATTAGAGTGAACAGAGATGTCGTAACTCTTCTATTATATGGCTCTGATCAGTTATAATCCCTGCAAGCAACAGGGCCCATTCTTAATGAGCATGATAAAAAAACAGGAGAGAAAAAGCAAAAGGATAAATGTGCACTTTGACTGACTTGGGATCTGTGTTCTGTGTTCCTATCTAAAGCATTGACGGCTCTCTGTGACGGCGGCTTTGTTGATGCTTTAGATACGTTTCTGAAAATTGACTTCATGCCAATAATGAAACCCTCAGATTTCTCATGCATTTCTTTATTAAAACACCCCAAGTGTATTCCTTTTTTCCCCAAATATAAAAGAATGTTAGTATTTTAAGTTAATAATAAGTTATTTTTGTGATTAACACAAATAATATTTTTACTTATCTACCTGCTGAGCTACAGCCACCCAAATTCTCAAACATTGATAAGTAACGTATACAGGAACCCGATTTTAAAAGGAGAAATGTTGATAAGGTAGTAAAGAAATTGCAACAAAACCAGAAACACAATAATTATGGCTTTGGAACGAGAAGATCCAGATCATGGGAACTCAGTTTCACGTCTAGCCAATGGGAGTGTTACAGTGGAAAATGTAATTAGTATCTCCACACTTAGATCCGTATATAACATTCAACCCAATACAACTATAAATAAGATTGTTAATGAGGGAGCTGTGTGGCGCAGTGGACTAGTGCGCTGTCTGGTGTTCGGATCAGGGGAGCACAGGTTCAAACCCCACTGCATTCAGCATGTCGTTGTGTCCCTGAGACACTTCACCAACAAATTGCTCCTGTGGGGATTGTCCACAGTATCGAGTATATAAGTCGCTTTGGATAAAAGCGTCTAACAAGTGACATGTAATGTAATGACCTTGCATAAACAGTTATCTGACTGAATATCAATGGAGGATAAGTTAACCTAAACAGTTGCTGTTGTGAGCCTCAGTTATTCCCTGCAGCAGGTCAACGCTCATTATTGGGAAACATTGAAGACACACACTCATACAGTAACGTTGCAAAGTCAATAAGTGGAGTGAACACACCTAAATAACTTTCTATTGTTCAGTTATTTAAATAAAGAACAAGTAAGTAGGGAACTGTTTACCAGTTCATATGAAACTATAATGTCAAATCAGAAGTGGTTAATATTGCAACAAAGGGTTATCAGATATGCTAACAACAAGAACAGCTGACTTGTGAGATGGAGTTATTAAAGTGCAGAGATACTGATGAGGAACTCCAAAACGTCTTTGCATTGGTCTGCCTGTGCACATCATTTCCTTTGTGCACACTGATAACGGTCAACAATCCAACCTGAGTTTCACTGCAGTTCATGGACCATCTCACATTTACAATCCTTCTTTACATTTTAAAATAACAACTGAAAAAAAATGACTACTCTTGTTTCATAAACTCAAACCAGATGTCAGCTTTATAGTGTGGCTCATAGAAAGAAAGAGGAACTTTAAGAATGTTTTTGTGATTTGGCCGACCTGACATTTACAGAGTGGCTTCTTCATGTCAGGCCTCGGTTTCACTTCACATTGTGGTCTGGCCAGGCCTCAGATGAATAAGCATTAGACGTCATTTCAACAAGGCTTGGCAATACCTCATGACAGTTAACGTTTTCAACATGACCCCATTTCAACAACTTATCATTCATACTTCCTAATTTAATTTTTTGTATTGTTTCGGACACCATAAACTACAGTCCCTTTTTGGATACATTTGTAACTTGTATTATAGTAATCTTGTTTTAATTGAAACAGAATGAAGCAGCATTGATGAAATACAGAATAACATCGATTGTAAACAGTTGCTGGAACTGTTGTGTTTAACCTCCCATTTTTAACCTGACCATTTGAACTGAAACACGGTTACTGTTAAAAACTACCATTAAAACCTGAACCAGAGTAAATGACAGACTTTTACAAAAGACAGCCAATGAGAAGAGAGCAGTGTTGTCTCCATGTGTTCATTTGAATGTGTCACGTAAGAAGATGAACTGTAGGTTCACATAATCTAGTTTTAGTTCCCACATGACGCAGCAGGCTGAATATCATTTAACATCTCCTGTCTTTCCCATCAGCCTCTCATTAAATCTTGCTTTGACAGTTCTCTAACTACAGAAATCACTCATCATTTCTTTCTTTTGGATTAGGGTCATTTATGGATCATAAAAAAGCTAAAAGAACCCGAACTCAAGGACTCGGCTAGTTTTATGATCTTTGATCTTCTCTGTCAAATGACTTGTTCCAACTATTCTGTTGACAACGGTAACTAGCAGAATGGCTTGTAGTGGAAAAAACATTCTGGACTTTGTGTGATTTATGACATCCACTTTATCAGACATAAAATGACTGTTTAATATTGATTGTATGGCACATGTGAAATATTCCAGTCTGGAATGGAAACAACCAACAACAAGTTTGGCTTTGAGTTATGAGCTGGACTATTTCATGTCTGATTACACTAATGATCTTATAGAGTTTAATTGAAAGAATATTAGTAAATTCACTCTCTATCGCCAAATAGGGTTAAACTCCTTCTGGGAGATGAAATACAAAAATCACACCATGTCAGAATCAGAATAGTTTTTACTACCAAGTTTACATACTTATTTACAGACTTATTACAAAATGTCATGATTGGCCAGGGGCAGCGCTGTGTAAAACAAAACAAAATAAATGTTATGACATCTATTTTTTTTAACCATTTTACGACTATTATAACAAATGAAAAATAAAAGCAATATTTACACAAAATATAATTATGTGAGAAACTCAGCAAATAGAATAAAATATGAAAAATACTATATACTGTATTATACTATATTCAAAGTGAAGCTATGCTGATTTAAAAGAGGTAGTGTGGAGAAGAAATATGTAACATGTGCAGGATTTACATTTTTGAAAAGAACAAGATACTGTTAGCATGATGTCCATTAATAATAAACCATTGGTGAGAAAATAACTAAGATCTTCGCAGGGGACGCTTCAGAAATTTCAACTGTCCATTCTCCTATGTTTGTGCACAGTCCAGTCCAGTTTGTGAAATCTGCACTTGTTTGCACATATTAATGGACCCAGCATGTAGGGATGTCACAGTAACAGAACTTTAGAAGTCGATAACAAAACTATTGAAATTCATTAATGTGAAATAACTTACCTTTGCCTAAAACAAATGTTAAGTGATTAGAGCATTAATACACCACTGCAAATGTAGAAAAAAAATTCTCCAGAATTTTGGTATTGAGTACATTTGGAGAGACATCCCTAGCGGAGAGCACTCTATAAAGTCATGGTATGTGTTATTAAAAGCTATTTTAGAAATAATCCGGCTATTTGGTTCCTGCAGTCCACTGGTTTAAGGTTCAGATGTAACAAATAAATCACTGTATCATGGAAACACATTACATAGCACTCAGTTATAGAAGGGAGTAGTGTGACCACACATTTTCCCTAAAAGACATGACTAACAACTGTCAGGCTGCAGTCTTCACTCCCTGTCAATAGCTTTTTTTTCCATACAATCTTGTTTGGTGTCTTTATTTTCGTTCACATTATCCAATATTCGCAGAAACAAAAAACAAAGAATGAATCCAATTTCAATCTATTGCAAATATCATAAATCAATATGGCAGAGAGCGACATCATTCCTGACTATAACTAAACCCTTTGCCAAATGGCTGCATTGTTCAAACAAAACTGGGTGGATCCAGTATTTGAATATGAACATGTACTGCATTCTGACCTCGAGGCCTTCCCAGAGCCTCTCAAAGCTGTGTGTGTGTGTGTGTGTGTGTGTGTGTGTGTGTGTGTGTGTGTGTGTGTGTGTGTGTGTGTGTGTGTGTGTGTGTGTGTGTGTGTGTGTGTGTGTGTGTGTGTGTGTGTGTGTGTGTGTGTGTGTGTGTGTGTGTGTGTGTGTGTGTGTGTGTGTGTGTGTGCTCGTCACCGCATGTCGTTTCTCTTCCCTTTACTTTGCATTAAAACAATACGACCAACCAGCTCTGGCAGTTATGTTTTGCTGCTTCTGCTTGAGGGGCAATGCAACCTGCCTTTTTTCACTTGATCTGGATGTTTACATTATTTGCAATATCCTCTGTTTCTCACGAGCTAAACCACACTGCTCTGGTGGCCTACATGGCCCATTTTAGCATTTTTGTCCACAGATTGCAGTTTCCACAGAGTACTTTCATACTATTTTAAAGGACAATTCAACCTTTGGTTTCGGTTTAGTCCTGCAGTTCAGGAGGGTTTGCTTCTTTTGTAGAACCAGTAACTAATCACATTCTGAGTGTTGACTAAGTTAACAGATAACTGATATTAGGATTACAGCCATTGTTTGGGATAACGGTTTATTAAAAGATAACAGGGTTGATGTTTCCACCCAAAGTGGTAAAAACTGTATTTCCTTTTTTATAGAAGTGAGAGGAGCTACTCAAGCTGAGCTGTAGTGCTACAAGTATAACACATTTTCAATAGGCTGTCCTCAGTGAGCCTCAATACTGACAAAGGAATGAACACATCCTTCCACTTAAAAATAAGAAGTGTAATTATTTAGCAATAGAATGCTCAGTGTTTCTTTCAATTCAATACATTTAAGGGTTATGCTGCCACTAGCATACTTGGTCTGGTTTGACCAGTAGCCTACAAGAGGAAACTTTTTCCCCTTTCCCATATGAATAAAACAAACGGTGCTATTTGAAGTTGCTTCCTTAAGTTGTAAAAATGTACATAAAGAAACAAGAGTAGAGGACTCTCAAGCCTCCCTGATTGATTTCTGAAAGGCTCCTGACTCTTGCCTCACAACAAGCCTCTCATGCTCGCAGCACATCCTTTCATCGCAGGCCTTTAGTGAGCAAAGCGCCACACAGGAAGTGCTGGCTTGCTCTAGCGTCATTCTGACACACAAATGTGATGTAAGTTTCTGACTTCAGACCTAGCAGGCATGTCTTTCAAAGGAAAGAAGAAGGAGTCGCAACTCTTAGAAGCAACACCCACACATATGTTGGTTCTTTCTTGAATGAGTGGAAATAAACAATAGAAATTCATATTGATAATGTAATTTGAAACCCTAACTTTTAGAAAGGAAAATAAAACATGAAGATGGCCTGATTAAAACAGGATTCTTGATGTTTTTAGTGAAGCTCTCTTGGCAGCCATGCTCACATTTACAAAGCCCTTTTCTCACAACCATTCCAATTATTTGCTGTGCGTTGGATGTTGTTGGAGATGCAGTTTCAGCGCTCTTTGCCTCCTTGTTGGAAAAAGTTACTCCGTAAGAGAGCACAGCAAATTGGTCAGCATTGTTCTTCTGCCCACATAACAACTCTGTCCAAACAGAGCACAACAACCCCACTCAGGAAATGCACATTCAT